GTCTAGTAAACGGTCGTGCCTACCATCTCTGGACTTATTGTCTTTCTGGGTTAGCCTCGCGGTAAAAGGTCCTCAACACAGTATTGGTTTACTGAGAAGTCAAGTAGCACAGCGCCATAGATTCAAACCCTCTAAATTTAATATGCTTTAATACCACGGTTAGAGGTTGGGTTTACAGAGAACAGGGATCATAAACCGCCCCACCACCCTACCTCCTCTCTGGTTAATTAAATCCCCCAACGAGAGAATTTTAATCACGACGAATTTTCACATTACTCACTGCTACCCCAAGGGTGTAATCAATGTTCCTTGCACGACTGTTTATTGCAGAAATAAGACGACGAAGCAGAAGGAGAGGCCTATTTGTGAAAACAAAAAAATTTACAGTTGTTTGAGACCCAATAGCACTTCTGGCCATTGAAAACACGGAACCCGATCTCTGTGTGGTTGGCCAGTTAAAGGCACTACTTCAGCTCAACATAAATATTTATCTGCCCATAATTGTTCGACGAGGTCCCAAAAGCATCTTCATAGGTATTTGAAAGGATACATTTAATAATTTCAAATTCTGAAGGACATTAACCACCAGGGCTTGAAATCCGCAAAGGTCTGCGGACTCAGTGGGGTGGAGACAGCGTGTGGTAGAACCCAGTGTTTTTGGTAGTCGCTCCCTTCATAGTGAATGAGCTGAGTAATTCCTCCGTCTGGCTGAAAGGGATAATTCATTCAACGCCTACAGGTTCCAGTAATTTGTAGAAAGAGCAGTGGTGTTGTTGGCGGCACAACTGCTGCCACACCTCTGGTTGCATCCACAGGAACTGCGATACTCCAACGGTGAAGTCACTGAACAGGTTAGCTATCCGTCATTAGTGTTACTTTTCAAGTTCTTGCTCGGTAACTATTGGCCGAGTTCCCACCTTTTATAAAAAACTGTTTTGTCGGGGAAATTAATTGCTACATTTAAATAAAAATTAGCATGCTGGGGATCTAAAATATGTTGAATTGTTATTAAGGCACCTTCCTTCTACAAATGCACACCAGTTACCCGGTTGAGTACCTTAAACTTGAACTCTGGGGCTGATTGCTAATTTCTGACATTTCCTTACCCAAATGCCACTTAATTCTCTGCGTTATCCTTCATTTGAGACGTTTTCGTCCACCTTGTTTGCAAATAATTGACCTTTATATTGACATCAAAACCTTTTAACAATAAAGAGCGCGAATTTTACACTTAAGGCGAGTTGCCTTTCTTTTGGGAAAAAGGAAACCAAAATGAGCAGCAGCAACAACAAAGAAGATTAGGTGTAAATAGGTTTGAGGCTACCGGAAAGTGCATGGTTAAACGTTTCTATGAGGATGAGCTTGGTCTAGAAGACAAACCAACCGCGGAACGATCTACTCATGCAAAGAACCAAGCATTTCCTATCGCGGTTAAAAAAGTATCCAGACGCCGTTATAATCTGGCTGACAGTAAGTTTTGGCTCCTTGGAAAAGGCCACTAACTGGCACTTGAATAATTTGTGCCTTGGCAACCAAGTGTTACCAAAATGTTCCTCAAGAAAGAGTTGATCACAAACGTTCAAATCTGGAGATATTTTTCTTTCTTTCATTGAAATATTCCTAGGGATTGAAAATGAAGCTCTTTACTGAACTATAGGAAGAAATTCTAGCTCTCCTGCAAAGAAATGAAACAGCAGAGCTATCAAAGGAACTAGGGCCATGTACTTCTAAATGTAAGCGGGAACTGTCGTCAATTGTCGTGCTGTGGGCTGTTTTGAAAATTTGCTATCGAGCAAGGGTAAGGTAGACTGAATGCATTCCACCTACACAACAATGACCCCTCACAAATTACTGAGATGGACTGGTGCGAATTCAAAGAACCAGGAGGATTGAAGGTTCTCCCTCAGGGGGCTTACGGACGAGAATTTACCTTGATACAATTGTTTCTGATCTGCAGTAGTACTCTGCTTTAGCAATATGACAACGTGTTTTCGCCTTTAAACTGGCTGAATTTCATGGATTTTGAGAATGAAATTGTGCAGACAGTGGGGAGGAACAGGAGTGCCAAATGGTGGGGATTTTAAGCTGACACTCAGATATTCCCATCATCTACCTACTGGAGAAATGGCTTTTGAGCTTAGAAGACGGGAAGGACACGTAAATGGATTTGAAATAAGAAAAAAAGTAAATAAAATTAATTTGATTAAGCAGACATTGAGTAATGAGGTGCATTGTGGAAAGGACTAAACGCTCAGCTTTTTGGACAGCAAGTCGGTTGGGGGGGAATAGTCGTGGTATGGCCTTTGTCTCAACTGACAGGTAAAGTTAACCGATTTGAAGGAAGTGTGAGGAACTTAGGTTTACATTTTATTCTTTCACAAACCTGATCTCTTTTCAATTAAAACGAGTTAAAATTGGTGAGTAAAGTGAGAAACAAAGAGAGACTCGAAGTGCTAAATTATGGCGTCAGTTTGTCTAGCCGTTTGACATTAGGACCGACCACACGCGGTTGAAAATGCAATGGTATGGAAAGGGGGTAAATGGTGTTGACGTACGTCAAGTCACGATTTCTCACTACACCGATATAATGCATCGATTTTGGTGATTTCGTGGGTCTTTAAAGATTCTTTACAAGATGAATGTATTCAAAGCGAAGCGTGATTCATGCGTGATGCTGGCTATCAGTTACATTGGAGTCGGAGAGAAACAACCAAAATGCGTGCGCATCTTTTTATGGCTACGTTTTAGGAGAGTTTTTAGGATGAATTTGACATATTCTGATAAAAATTACGATTTTATAATTCTTAAAACGAAATAATATGCGCTCGTTTACCAGTGTCTCGCATCACAAAATCAAATAATTCTACAGATAGTACTGATCTCTCAGTACAAGACTTCATCGTTATGAATCCAGTGAGATGTCTCGGCTCCCTCAAAAAGAGAGTAATTTAGGAATGACATAAGACTGCCCCCTTTAAAAATAAAACAGAAGTCCTAATGGGAGATAAAGGCAATTTAAATGAATGTTGGTCGATTATCTGAACGCGCAGTACTGCTAGCCCTGCTTTGCAAACCGCTTCGTTGCCTTCTCTGATTGCTAACCACTGAGGGCACAAGAGAAGCTGAACCGTCACCGGAGCCTAGGCTGTTGCTACTGTGGCCCCTCCGTCCGTGGTGCACCCCGCGGGCTGGGGAGTTCGATAAGTCCGACAGCTCGATTGCGTCTGCATCCTCATCAGACGGGAAACCACCTTTCCAAGGCAAAAGCAAATAATAATTGTGGTTGATTTGGCAAACATCTGAGTTCTGGAAATCTGACAGTTATTTGTCAGTGAACGCTTTAAAAATAGTGAACATAGCTTTTGAGACGAAACTATTATCAGGGTGTGTTTTTAGAAATAAAAAATGACTGCGACCGAAACCTACGGGTCAAATTCGTATTTTTCCATTCATGTTAAACCACAAATATAAAGTTTACAGGGATGAGCGAACGAAGTTCTTAGGTACAAAAAATTTGAATGGGGTGCTTGTCTATTCAATTTTCTAATAGCATTTATGTTGCCATCATGGTTTGAAAGCAATCTTTATCAAAATATTGTTGTAGCTCTTTTTAACGGCAAATTTGCACTTATTTTAGCCCCAGTGATGAAGTGCCAAGCTGACAAACACTGGTATTTTTTTCATCGCGTGCAATTGTGGCGCAAAAGCAATCGACGTGCCACCGAAAAGTTGAGAGAGATGGGAAAAGACGTCACAACCGAGCGAGTGGCACGTCAAAATTGAAGGGGCTACTTTCGGTCATGGTGACGCATCCCACTCCGACCTGCCAAACCGCGCGGCGGGTGGTGGCCGAGCAAAGAAATTGCGACGGCAGAATAATTTGAGGATGAGTGGGTGGCACACGAGTTAACGAAAGACGAAAATATCGGTGATTTACAATTGCGGTGGATTAGACTGTGCCGTACACACAGATCATGGTTACTGTATTGCGTTTTCACCGGTAACGAAGGCAGGTCTTTACGTTAGGTAAGGCTGAGTAATCAAAACCATGGATCAAGTGAGATCACCAGCCCTGACAGACAGATTTGGGAGTGTTCGGATTCAGAGAGGCCTCACCCATCAAAGACTATTCGCACCGAATTATTCAATCGACCAGTATCTCTACACTGCTCAATTGCGTCATTTGAACCGAGTCTGGTTTCCAAGGTCGAGTGATTCTACAGCATGACGACACTCTACAGCACATAGCACAACTCACGAGGATTGAAATCCAAAGGATTTTGGCGCATTGCCCAAGCAATCGAGACCACGCTCTGTCAGATTGCCTCCCTTCTGCTCGTTTTCAAGTCAAATGCGAGACTTGGCATTCGAAAACGAGACAACATAAGCGGATTTATTTGCAAAACAGGAGGGACAGTGGGAGAAAATTACACATGACGGCGAAGAATGCACACATTATTAAAAAATCTAAATTTTTTATCGAAATTTTACTTCTAGCAAGTGATTAACAAATGAAAAGACTCATGCTTCAACACAATATAAAGTTTTAATGTTTTACATGCTTATGCACAAGTCGGATTAATAAATGACGCGACCAATAAGACCGTACCTTGATGTGCCCTCCAACCCCTTTCGATGCCACTGGCTGGTTTGTCCCCTGGTGACCATCGCGAAAAGCTGTCAGCATAGTTGCCAAGCTGACTTGCCGCCTCGAGAAGGGGAGTTGCTGGTGCTGGTCGCTGGGTCGTGCCCAGCGAACTCGGAAACATGCCGGGGCTTGGCTGGTCCTGTCTCACGCTCAGCACTGACTGCGGCTCCGGGAATCTGAGCAAAGGCGGATAAAATTTAGTGATCTGTGATTAGTTATGTTAGACGGCAGGTCTGGACTGCCATTGATGCGGTATAGTCGTATTCCATGCTTTAGAACAGAGGAGGCAAATTACACGACTTTCCCGCACCGCGCAATGGAAGTCGTAATGACTAATACTCTTGTTAGGCACCAGCTAACTTCATCAAGAAATACAACTACAATCGAGCATTCAAATGTGGAAGCACCAGGAATACTAAAAAAGGATGGACCACAATAGGAGACCGAATAATTGGGCAATTTCGTCTGAGGTCATCCAAGACATGGCCGAAAGCCTTGATTAGTGGCGTGACCAAGTAAACCAATTTTCATTATCAAATAAAGTATTAGGAATGTCATAGGCCCAATTTTTTCTAGGTATAACAAACTTACGTTTCGAGGGGTTCGAATAGCGGTTCCGTGGGAGCAGCTTTTTCTTGCACTAAAAAGTGAAGCAGATTTAATGCAGCGGATGAGATGAATGGGCTGGTATCTTAGATAACTTAGAATCTATGCTATGACTACGGAATAATTCGAAGGATTTATCCGATTTCAACCAAGTGCAACCTTCTGCCCGTAAATCTGGTTAAGGTAACACGAGAATAGAAAGCACCTCAAAACGTGCTGTAGCTTTTACCTTCCTTTAAGCGCTGTCCACGAATGCAGATGAAGAGAACAAAAATGAAAATGATGAGAATGAAGAGCAAGATGACAACTGCAAACCACGTCGCACTGGCCCCTTGCAAGCCTCCTGGCGGTGGCGGACCCGAAGTCGAGATAACCTTAGAAGGCGATGCAGTGGAGATTGCTGCACCATTTGTCGCCACCATCCGCACCTCATACTTCGTTGCTACAGCACAAATGGAACTTAGTCTCGTAATATGCCAACATGAAATTTACGTGTGTTCATGACGAAGCTTACATGGTTGCAGGCCAGTGACGTAGATGGTTCGGGAAAGAAACACTCGAAGAGATTCTTGCCACAAAACAATACCGGGCATTCGATATTGCGCGAAGAACACAGATCCCGGTGGGCCCGTATGGCTGGGCTCGTAAGTCACATTGAAGGTGTTATCGGTGATATCAGAAACAAAGAAGGTCGGAGGGTTGGGGACTAATTATATTAAAAGTAATAGATTTAGTAGGGACACGCTTAGCTGAAAAAAAGTGAAATACGCTTACTTGAGGTCTCATCTAAAGTTGTAACATCGATGAAAGAATCTATTCCCACCCCAGCTGATGTTCTTGGAAAAACAATTAATCGATACGATGTATTTGCTCGCAGAGCTGTCAGCTCGTATCCAGTGAGCAAACCGTCAAACACAGTGGGATAACGTGCAGATAGTCCAAGATCCAATCCCCTAACTGAGAAGCGTAGTTATTAGTATCTGCCCGTTTAAAATAAGCAAAAAGTCTTTATTCCTTAACGTACTTTCACGGGCCTCGAAATCGTAGCCTATGATTACGCCGTTAGGCTCCAATGGCGGAACCCACGTGACATTTACCCTATTTGTTCCAATTACAACAGCCCGAAGTTCTGAAACTGGGCCAGGTGTACCCTCCAGGGTAGTAATTTTCCCGATAGGACTAAAAAATAGATGGAAAAATTATGCATGAGTTCACTTGAGATTAGAGATTTTCATACCACAGAACCTCACCCGATGGGACCAGCATGGAGGCTGTTAAGTAACCTGAGCCAGACTTTGATTTCAGTTGCCCCAGGCACACCCGTCAGTGTGTGGTTGACCGTCGCGCCCCAGGTGAAGTTTTTCAGGGTAATTGGAGTAATGTATCCGCTTGAATCTGCAAGAGTCGCCATGGTAACAAGCTGTCGCTTAGACCGAGCAAGTACATGTTGAAGAGCTTCACCAACACACGATGGTGATTGGTAGGCCCGACTGCGACAAAAGGGCTCCTCCGGCTCGGACAGACAGTCTTCGGCATGTGAAAGGGCCGATTCGAAGGGTTGGGAATAAAAGGCTTGTTCAAGGGCAGAAATGCTTTCTTTTCCACTTTCTGCTGATCGAGGTCTTCGCAAGTAGGCGGTTGGGTTCGGAAGAATTTGGAAGAGCACGTCCTGTTAACAACAGTTGAAAATTAATGAACTTTCTTTTTTAATATTAGTTACGGTGACGTGAACAACCTGAGAACACATTTTTGTTTTCAGCCACGATATCAGGGACAATTTATCTTTCGGAAGTGATTATAGCACTATGTTCATTTATTTGAAAAGTAAATGAAGGGAGAAATATATAATACCTTGCACCAGGCTTTGGCTTCCAAACTAATTCACATACCCTGGAATAGCGGCCATGGGCATTTGACTAGAAGTTATGTGTGGGGAATGTATTCCTTGGGGAGAGGAGAGATTTGACATAATTATGGCCAATGGGTTGGACTTTTAATTTGAGGTTAAGTATTGTTTTTTTCGATAAAAAGAAGTCAATAGAGGGCACCTGTCCGGTTCTGCTAGCAGTTACTTAAAAGTCCTTTCACTCTTGAATATTTATGTATCAGAGAGAGGCTAAAGAGCTACTCTGTGTAATTTGGAGCTCCGCTCACATTAAGCCTTTAATTGAATCCAATCAGCATATTATCACACCAATGATGCTACTACCAATGGTAGCTATACTACCATTCTGATATTCTATAAGTCATGTCCCTTTCATGGATTGTGGCGGTGACTGATAGTAAGTGCGTTTTCCCTTAAATTTTAAAAACTCTCTTTAAAGTACGCATCATTTGCTGGTATTTAAAAACACTGAAATTCCACTTAGGAAAGTGATTCGTTCCTGTAGATTGTTATTCACACTAAGCGACTAACACTGCTACCTACCGTTTACCCCAGGGCGGAATATTTTTTCACACGAACGATCAGAAAATAAGATGACTGATTTCAAAAAAATTAGAGGACATATTTAAGGATACCTTAGGGACGACTTTTCACAAAATCAGGCATGGTTTTATAGACAATTGCGTTTGCAGTTACGTTCTTAATTACATATAAACAGGTTTGGGGAAAGATTTCACATGATGACCACCTTTACAAGTTTTCGAAACGTTCCAGCCTCATTATCTGCTTTCATTAACATGCAATCAGTGACTTCGACGTAATAATTTTGAACCCGACTTTGTTCTTCTTAAACTAAACCACATTTTATTTCTTCTTTAGACAAAGCGTGATCAGAATCAGTCAAGCCGCGCGGAAACGTGGCACGCACAGGGCTTGCTGAGTAATCTCATCTATCCTTCAGTTGCGATGCATGAAATCGACCCAGACACTCTCCGATGCGAGGGCAAGTAAGCGATTGATCATTTTGCCAGTTGCACAGAGCGCAACGTCAAGTTATGTAAACCTAAGAAGGCAAATCACACCCACGAATATTCCCTATGATTATCATCTCAGGTTACTGAAACTTCATCAGGTTCCTCGCAGAACCTGCCGATAAGATCAGTAGGCATTACCTGTGCATCCCGCCAACCCGCAACACATGGTGAACGACTTGAACACATGCAAACTATTCCTTGAACATTGGAAGGCGGAAAGGTAAAGTGCTTACTTGAAATCTTTTTTGGTCCTCGCATTCAATCTGGGAAAGGTTTGCGGTGCACCACTCAATTCTATACCCGCGGAAAAACCCATTGACTAGTGGTGCCTGATTTTCAGATATGACGGTCCACTGCAAGAGCGCACCGTCAGATGTGGGTTCCAGTACAGTCAGTTCAGGGGCTGCAATACTTGGCATATTCTCCCCTGAATAGCCTCTTGCTACCGTTGGTGCCTTTGTGCTTGTGCCCTTGTCGTTACGGCTCTGAATAGTTACCTGATGTACATAGAAAGGAGTGCTTATAAGATAATTAAGCAGCGCGAATAAGTAGCACCCACGGATCTACCTCAAACAACTTGTAAGATTCGATAGGCTGAATGATCCTGTCGGATGGGGAACCGCTCTGGAAAGTGGTATACGTGATTCGATCCGTTCTCCAGTTACCAATTATCGTTGTGTTAATGTCTCCCGGACGTATATTGTTGCAGTCAAGGCATCGTACTGTAAGCAGGTAGACAAGATTGTTTCCGTAGTGTTCGATGTATGGCATGGTCTAACAAGATCGAATATGGATAATTTTAGTCCATGTGGAAAAAAATAGCTGCCATGGTAATGTATTTAAATGGGTCGGTGCAAAATGAATCAAGCAAACTGGGATTGTTACTGCATAATTCAAAAGCGTCTTTATCGAAATTATTTTCATGGCTTTTCCCGACAACACTCAAGTCCTTTGAAGTGTAGCGGGACACTTAATAAAAAAATCTAAGGCGTCTCATAAGCACGTGTACGAGTCAACTCACAGACCACTGAATAACTAAGTTATTTGGACTTGTGCCGTAAACGTAGAGTTCCTTTGGATTTGACTCCGGTGCTGTGGCTGGGATCGAGCAAGTCCCTGTCGTTGCCACACTAGGCTCTGAGACTCCCACTCGATTGCGGGTCCTAACACGGAACCTGTAATCAATATTTGGCCGAAGTACAATCTGTCAAGAAGAAAAATGAAAACCAATTACTGGTGTCTCAGAGATTAGCTGCTACGTCTTGGGGTGTTCCGTTGTACCTTTGCGTCGGTGGCTTGAAGAAGACCTGTTAGGTTGAAAATCTCAGCTCGGTACCAAGTGCCACGTTCAAATTGAGAGGAAAATTCGACAATATATTCAATGATAGGGGCGTAGTTGTCAGAGCCGGGGGCCCACTGCAAAGTCGCTCGACGAGATGAGGTAACGCAGTCTTCAATTAGGTTACGTGGCTGATTAGGCCTGCCTGGAGAAAAGAAAGGCAGTGCTACTTATTTGCTTCTTTAAATTAATTTATACTACTGAGAAACTAAAAAAGTTTCAAACCTTTAATGTTAGACTAAAATGGATTAATTACCCGTCTATTTGTGAAAGTATGATTAAAAAACTCTTAGTATCTTGTGTGCTGCGGATCGTAACATTGAATTAAACATGAAGCTTAGCGGCTACATACTAAAGGCATATAGCAATGCAATTTGTTGCAATTCAATCCATTCTACAAATTTAAAAACGCCTGTGTGCCATTTTGGCGTAGCGTTATGTCAGTGTAGATCTGCTCATCATTTAGTTCCAATTTGAATTACAAAACGATAGTCTGGCATACAGTGATCTGTTGTATTAGAAATATTACATTTTGCTAATTGAACAACCAAATAATCTACGCTGAAAAGTTGACAGCCAATTAAAATCAAATGTCCCAAAAGTGGTGGGTTAAAAGAGGGAACCAGCTGAATCAGGGCTAAAATATCAACTTCTCATCTTCGTTTAAGGGCGCCTAATGATGGCATAATAAATGGGTGTGAAAATGAAATATGAATTATCCGATGTGCCTCCACAACACACTGGGAGGCTCACTGGAGTAAAATGCTCGAGTTCAGAGACAATCTCGCATACAGATATTTCAGGACTATTTTGACAGTCAGTTTTTCCCGTTTTGTGACATCCGAACATCCTCCCGCAATGATACGGTCGCTAACCGCTTTCTCCGCGAATTTGTTCTCACACGACTCACGCCTCTCTCATTTTATCCAATGGATTCTCATTGTAGCTTGATTTCCCGACTTCACTTTAATATCTCGGGCACAGCGGCTCAAACGACGACCTTCTAACAACTAAACAATGGAATCTTCAATAATCTTAAGGTTGTGTAGGCTGTCTAAAGTTACACAAAATCGGAAACCAAAGTGGAGAGACCTTCAAATACCAGCCAACTACTTAGTACATTGATTCAAATAAACTAGAATTTCACTGTCATACTGTTCCACATTTAATAAAACCTAAGCTTGCCTTGGACAAGGAGGGATGCAGTAGCTACAGCAAAATCAAGTCCATTCGAAGCATTACATCGATACTGCCCGGTGTCCAGGGTTTGGGCACCTCCAATAACGAGGGAATAATCGAATCCAACTTGTTCGATCCGAGGTGTAACAAGAGGGTCAATAAGATTGTCATCTTTGTACCATTCCACCTTTAAATTCGGTAACTCATATGGATCTGTGTCCGCAGTACAGACGAATTTGACCAACTGGCCTTCATACACCCAGGTCTCAATGGGGGCTAGGGTGACGCGAGTCCGTCGACGGACGGCCAGTGATCCCGAAGCTTTTGTCACACCGAACGGATTTGTCGCAGTACACTCATAGAGACCCGTGTCTGCCACTCTGCCGGACTAGAATATGTAGAGTGAATTTCAAAATATTGCATGATGGTAGTTTTGGCGGAACTTAAAAACCCGCGACAGAGTATATACTCAAATCAGAAAATCGGTTCTGATGATGAGTAAGATAAACACATGACTTCACGTTATGATTGAAACGTATTTTTTGTAGTGTGTGGTCATGTCGTAAATGTTTAGATCATGCTGTGTATAACGCAAGAGGCATATGCATAAACAATGTTAATGATAGTAAATGAAAACACTTTGAATTACGTTAAAGTCCTTTCATACACTCACGAAATTAAATGAGAAACACTTGAGGCTGTCAAAATGAACATCTTCGAGAAATATTTGAAACCATTATATCTTAAATCTTGTATGCAGAATACTAGACACTATGAAAACTCGCATAAAGTATCATTTTAGCAAACTCGAATCGCTGCCTTGCTCACCTCAATTATCAGATCGCCGTTCTCCTGCACCTGGTATCGACCCCCATTGATCGGTCGTCCGTCCTTCCTCCAGGACACCAGGGCTTTGGGTGCTGAATAAGAACGGCAAGGAAGGAGCACTGGTGGACCCTCAGCTTGTCTGAGGTTTTTCGGTGGACCCTCGTAAATGTAAGGCGGCTCCCGCAATACATTGATATAGGCGTTCACAAAGTCATACCCAAATGAATTCGACGCATTACACTGGATCACCGCAATGTCGTCAACGGTCAAATTATTGAGAATCATTGACTGAAATGAAACAGAAAAATACAGAGATCCGGATATACTAGCCCAGTTGTGGTCATGGAAACACGCAAAGCCAGTGCTTCTGTAAGAGCAGGCCTTTGTGAGGAGGGAGCTTCAAGAAACATCTGAGATCAATGTAACTGTAAACTTCACTGCTTCTTTTCAATTAAAACGTACATTTCCACTAATAAGCTTTCGAACCCCGTCGAGGTAAAACGAAGGGTCAAGCCCGTTAACTGTCCAACGAATTTTAGGCCTTGGATCAGCTTGAGCTTCGCAGGTAAAAACAACGCTTCCGTTCTCGGGAACCGTTGTATCAACTGGATGAACTACCAGTTTTGGAGCCGCTAAAACGTAAAAAACAAGTAATATAAAACACATTCGTGACCAGTGATGACTTATGCTCTGCAACGTACATTTTACCGTCACCTCATATTCATAATTTTGCGTTGTCATTGTTGCTTCGTTCACGCCTTGACAACGATATTGACCTGCGGATCCATTTGTTACGGGACTAACCTCCAAACCCGTTCCCATATTTATAATATTCGTATTTGGTTCCTATTCAAAAAAGTGTAGATTTTAAACAGATTAGATTATATACCAGAGTTGCATCTTTTCCATTTTTGAACCAGCGATAACTCGGTAATGGGTAGCCAGCAAGAATGCATTGTAAGCGGAGCGTTTCTCCAGCTACAACGAGAGTTGTATAGGGAGTCTGATACATAAATGTGATTGGCTGGTTAACCTGAAACAAAAAGAGTTAAAGATGAGTTGGTGAATTAAAGAAGTTGAACTATGAGACTTCATTGCATACTTCAGGATAGGAGACTATGATTTTATACCCCGGGCCTGTAGTTTGTTCTCGTATGATCTCGTTATTGGCCACGCACTGAAAGGTAACACCATCGTCAATTGGAAGAATTGCTGCAATGTGCAGTGTACCTACAACCAATAAAGTAGCAATCAAAAGGTTTTATGAAGTAAGGAGTTTGTGTATTAGGTATCAAGAAATTATTGCAAATTTCGACCTTAAAATGAGGAAGTACAGAAACTTTTGGTAGCTTGAACAGGCTCTTAATTGAGCTGATTATTTCAACAAAAGCCAAATATACTGCTTGATGAAGCAAAACCTCTTACATTTTGGGATTTCTATACTTGATAGTTCATGTCCATTAAAACAATGCACGTTTCGCGTTTGAAATTTCCTCCCTTATCCTACAATACTGTTGACAAATTTGTTAGTCCAATCACAGTGATACAAATACCGTCACCATGACCTTCAGTTGAAAATTTTCTAATAAGGGCTGCTAAGTAAACAAGTTGTTCAAACAGCTTCTAAATCGACAAAGCAATCCAGTTTACCAGTCTTTCGAAGATAGTTACTTGCTACCGCATCAAAAGGCTGCTTTGATCTCATAAACTGTATCAACTAAAACATTTCTGCACAGCGACTACTAATGTTATACTTGAAATATCAAAATTTGCAATACCTTAAATACACGCGACCAGCATTAAGGAAGAAATCCAAAAATGTTATTCTCATTTTCAATGCATAGGCATTAAACACTAACTTTGACGCTTAAATATTGTGAACTAACCATCAATGTCAATTGCAAGGCGATTAGTTTCCTTTATGTAGTCTAGTTGCGCGTCTTTAGATGTCTGCCACGTAACAACAGGTGGTGGGTAACCAAGAGGCACCTGGCAAGGTAGTGATACAGATTCTCCAACACGCTTGCTAATGGTCACAATATTTGAAGCAACGAACTGACCCATTTCTATAATAACAAATACGGAGCAGCAATAAGGACAAACCTGCTCGTTTTACATTAATTACGTTGGATAAGGCGATTCCATACTTATTCTTAGCAAAACACTGATAGAGCCCATCATCATCTGTACCAGGTTTTGCCAAAACAAGAGTACCTTCACCTGGGTATTTTGTATAGCGACCAATATTGCCAGCCCAATTAAAATCTCGACCATTTTTTGTCCAGAAATACCTTAAAAATCAAATAAAATTCATGTCAATACTTAGCCTCAGGGTAAGATTTCACTTTACACGGGAGCACTATAGCTTCAGAAGGAATAAAAACGGCCTCTTTACTCGGCATCTTTGTAAATGATGGGGGTAAGGATACTAAAAGTTGTCAGAAAATTTGGAGGTGACTCACGTGCATTAAGGCGTACAACACTGACACAAATGAAAAAAAATTGCAATCGAAAAATGTATCCACTCATTGTATTAATAAGGGCCAGATTCTTAATGTTTTAAATTTTTAGAAATACATCCGACGATATTAAAACCCATCCGCTTAAAAATCCCATCAAATTCAGCGGTATTTATCTGTCAAGGTCAACAAGAATAACTAAAGCTGAACTCGTGCACAATATCTGGTTCAAAATACTAGTAGAAAATTTCCTCAATATAATTCTAAAAGTATTATAGATTTAGAATAGTCATTGTTTTGTTATAATGAGTTGTGCATAGACCAAATTTGTTTCTAGGACCTTTAACTATAATGACCAGAATTAACTGCTCCATTCCTGAAATTTAATTTCGAGAAGTTTACTCTCCGCAATGGTCACCTTTTATTTTCTATGCATATGCTTACTCTAATGTATTCATTCTCCTGCTACTGCCTCATGAATAATGCTCATTTTATGATTCATCTTAATATTACACACACAAGTGCACTCAATCGTGTTTTTCAATGTGAAAAAAAGCTGGACATATTATGTATAATTAGTGTCTAGGATGTGTATTGATTTACTAAAATGTTTGCTTTTTGTTCAATATAATTTTTTTTAAACTCCCCATAGTATCTTGTCTTGATGAAAAATTAGTTCATTTTTTTATCAACCCTATCTAACAAAGCTGCATTCATCCACATTTAACCCTTGCTCTTCGAGTATTTGCCAATGATATTTAGGAAGCATGCAACATATGTGTTGAATTATTGCGAAATCCAATGGGTAGTCTGAATAACTGTCAAATAATAGGACTTGTTCGTTGTTTTACACCTCATTCAATTTGTAAACATCCAGTTGACATATTTTGTGGGGCGATTTTGAACAATTTCTCAGTAAAATGAAACGGTTGTTCCTACGTCCTCTCTGGTCTTTTTCTTCATCATGGGTATTAGAGAAGCGTAATCAGGACTGAGTTAATTCTGTGGCCCCGGCATGGTTCAAGACCACATGCTGGGGCCCACGACATATGCTACGCGAGGAGTTGAAATGCGAGTAGCACTAAAACAAAAATAAAATGAAACATTAGGGCTGGCGAGCGCTTAAAATTCCTCTGACACAGGGAAAAGAGTTGCTTCACATATCAGAAAATAATACTTGTAAATTTCATGGAAACCCAAATTTGTAGCAGTAAATCTTTGGCAAATGAAGCGGAGATGAGGAAGCACATATCTGCTTTTTGGTTAAGCCGACGACAGGGAAATAGTTAATGAACCCAAAAAACATGGTGTAAATCTACTGGAAATAACTCATTGAAACCTAAAAATATTACATAGGCAGCACTTGAGTGATAGGGATGAAGTCGTTACCTTGGCGGCCTAACGGTTAGATTGATTTTAAGGACATGGATATGTGTTCAAAACAAATTGTGCATAGGTATTGTTGATTAGTCAGTTAAGATTGGTGTCTGGATTGTGACTGTCGCAAAAAACAGATTTGTGTAACGAGGTCAATAAGTCTTGATTTTCTCTACACGGATGAATACCGGCAACTGGACTCCACATTTCACCGCGTCAAATCAAATAGCTGCAGGATTTTCACTTGTAATTTCATATTTTAGTAAATTTTTGCGAGGTTGACATGCTTGGCTTGCTCCGTTGATTTTACGTTGACTTTACGTTATCTAAATCCACAAAAAACAACTTAAAAAGAAGCTTAGGAGTAATTTTGTGTTACCACCGAGGAAATCCTAGCAATAAATGTTAGATAAAAATTAATCAATAAAAACTCGAGTCTTGCAGAAATCTTCAAAATATTACCAATGAATTCAAGAAATTTTAAGGATTACTCGCTTAAAACTACGATGGGGACGAGGACGTCAATTAATAATGGGCTCCTTATTAATGTCACATTATGAATTAGGACAATTTTACTTGGTGCTAAATTGTTTGGGGGAAGATGCGGCTCGAAAAGCTTAGAGGAGGGCAAGAAGGCCAGTTTTGTGGGTGTTACTGAGCAGTCGGTCTCGTTCGCACTAATGGTATGCGTCCAACAATCGATGAATGGGCGTCTCTGCAATCAATACTGAACCTCAGTCCCTTTATTCAGACTTCACATCGAGATCAGTCCCGCCAAAACATCAGAGGCAACAAAGAACGTTATAAAACTTGTTTACCTATGTTGTCCTTAAAATAAATAACAAGTAATAATACGCATGCAAAATAAAGAAGTTTCGTGTGGCACGCAACTAGAATGGTGGTACATCCGATGGGTGTATAAATTGATAAAATTCAAACAAGTGAATATTAAAAGTAAAACGATGGGGGAGGTTCGAATAACATCGTAAATGTAGCAGTTTCTGTGCAAGCCGCTGAACTGGAGTCAAATAAGCGAGCTCAAAAGCGCTTCTCACTTATCGTTATTAACTAAAGTTCGTTAACATTTCGAGCATATTTAAGGCAACGGCCTTTAATATTCTAGTCACCTAATTGAGGCACTTCACACGTTTTAAAAATTATGAACCTTTTGTGAGGTGAACGTTGGCATTTTATCTTATCTAAATCCTTTGTTAATAGTCGAATGTTGCAAAAGTTTGGACTAAATATGGAAATGTTGCAGTGTAACAAATGGCCATAGTTACATTTTATAGACATGCGCAATTTGCTTTTTAACGGATACAATATTAATGCTCTTAAGATAAGCCTGCTAATTTTTGACTAAGGATAATAAAATCTGACGATGGTACAATGGTCTTTAAAAATACAAGCTTGCAGCCCACGTCCGTCTGTTTTTTAGATGTACCGAATCGTCTAAAACCTGACTAGTAGGAAAAAGTACACGGGTAGGCAAGATGCCTTTAATAATATTGGGCTGAAAGAAAGAATTAGAGCCTAGGTTCTGGAGAATTATATCCAAACATTTCCTGTCAAAAGAACTCCTGGGTGTACTATGTGCTCTCATTAGACAATTGCCACCTGTTGTGGAGATTCGGTGATGGTGCACTGACAGGTTTGCCACAAGATGATTGGTATCTGTCACTCCACTCACCTTCCAGTGAGTCCCGTGCAATGCTGATCTCCACTCTGCTGACACACCCAAAATCACAGCGCTCAACCAATCCTCGAGCGAAGCAAACGGCTCTCAAGTACAGGAATTGGTTTGTGTACGTTGGCTTGGCTTTGGGTGCCACGGTGTTGCCTACTCTCACCCGTCTCCTCTCTGGTCTTGCGTTGGATTGTGATGTCGAACAACATGCTCAGCGATTATATAGACGGTAAATTATGGCAAGAAAAATCAGTTTACGAGGTCATTTAAATGTCGTAGACTCTAATTCACCCTTCATACTCCACTCAAAGTGCTGGTAGTAACGCATGAGTTACTGCTATTCCTGGTAACAATATTTCTATTACTTCAAATCTAACCTGCTTCTTTTAAATGCTTCCCTCACTCCAATTCACTGGCAAAGTTACTGCTTCTCTGCCCCCATAAAAAGGAGGCAGCGCTTAAGTAAAAGCACTGACCGAAAAATCACATCATTTATTTCGTTCAGGCACCCAGGTGGTAATTTTTTGGATACAATTTAGAATTAAAATAATGATTAGGTGTTGGTATTAGTAAGATTTAAAAGATAGCTTTTACCTTTAGAGCACGGTTCTGTTTAAAACAGACTCTAGACATCAAACACTCCTAATCTGTTCAGAACATTCGAGAATTACCCTGATCCCTACTTACCGGTGTAGGTTAATACAGTGAATGTTACATGTTACTTTGTCCACAAAATGTCTTCTGGAATCAAAAAACCAATCGCTTAATACAAATAAGGTAATATCACAGACGAGTCGCCACGTCACATGTCGAGCTATCGTTACTAAGAGAGCGCATGTGGGTGGGCAACTGCTGTAGTTCATGAGCAATTCGTGAGAAATTCGCAGACACCAGGCGATTGGAAAGCTGCAGGTAGGACCCGACCGCGTTTCTCCACCGCCTAGAGAATTTGTCAAGGAATCCATTCACGCTCTTCGCGTATCTAAAAGGCATTTAGGTGAGTCTGGTTATCACTTCCACAGTTTGTGTTCTGAACCTTCAGTTAAGCCTTTAAGAACCTCAGGACGTGTGTAGTTCGACTAATTTGAATTACTTCAACTTGTATTTTATTTTTTCTAATTCGAAATGCAGAAATGCAATGATTTTATAATTTTTATGCCAAAAATATGTTGTGAGCACCTCGAGACAAACTAACATTTTATATACATTTAAGAGCGCTACAAAACTGCACTACACTGACGGATGCTTTTACTGTTCAAAATTTGTTAGAGAAAACGATGGAACCGCTAAAGTAAAATATGGAAATGTGTTCGAAAAATTTTGACAACAGAGCCAATGGAAGGCTCAAAAGGAGTTTTCTATCCATTATCCAGTGTTTGACAAATTTGTTACGCTGAAAACACGACAACCTTTGTGCGAAATGCTAACGTCTTACGAGATTTATACAGCTGTCTCAAACCGCAATTTAAACTCTGGAGCCACACGAACGGGGCGCTGGCCAGTTGACCCGACAGGGTCAAAAGTGCCGTGAGGAGTTCGCACGACTGAGGCTTGAGCTGGGAAGAGGGCGTGAATTCGTACGCCCAACGTACAGCGTTGCGGCCTGTAATGTGGCGAAGACATTGATTTTGACACAAAGGTAACGTGTGATCAGCGATTACTGAGTAACCTTATCTGATGATCAGTTTGATTTTAAACGGGACTGCAGATTTGAACCGAACCAACGTAGACAGCACTCGTAGTATTGGTGGTTCTAAATAAAGTCGATTGCCTATTTGTGGATGAGCCAGTTTACAATCGAATTCCTTGCAAAGAAGGATAACAGTAGAATCGGGTACTTTTGGCAAAAACGCTTGCTTTAACGCCGTGGGTTGTGGCGCATCAAAAGCAGTGGAAAGTGTCAAAGCATCTGGTGGTGTATTTAGGTGTGTGGAGATCTTTATTAAAAGTGAATAAATATAACTGCCTGGTAAAACCATGATTTGTCAATTCAGAACAAATGGCAGTTCGTGTTTAAGAAATGATGCTTTTGTGAACGTGGCCGGCAGTAATGGCGTTTGAAAGAAGAGCAATCTGCGTCCCCAGTTATTCCCATATTATTTCCATTCAAATTAATTTCAAAGTGCAGAAGGACCTTCGAGAGTTTTGAACAAAAACCTTCCAAATGAGTCGTGTGAATTTCGTCGTACATATCTTATGTAAACAAAGTAAAAGATGCCGACAAAGTAAATGATGTAATGAAATGATAGAATGATATCATTTGCCTTTCATTTAATAAACTTTGGTTAGAAAAATTAGGTAAGGTACTTTATCACTAGCATCAAAAGTAGTTTCAACTCAACCCGGACTTCAAGTAGCAAATTAAAATCTGAAAGTCACAGGAAAATTTAAATCCATGTACATCAAAATGTCAGGCATGTGAGAGCAAATGTTTTTTCATACCTTCGGTGCGGACCTTAAATTTGGTGTTTTTCAAAGGCAGATATTTGCGCACAGCAATTGCGAACTAAAGAGACACGAGATAAAATACCAGCCGTGCAAAGTGCTTTTGTTGAGTAGGGGTAATTGAATTTAACATCTAGAGGTAGGCTATCTTCCCTCCGCATTACTGTCTGGGGAACTTACAATCATGCAAAACTCTGGCGCTTACGTGAGTCCGATGTGTGGTTGTTGTGTAACAACGGGCAGCGAGGTTGCTGCGTATGAATTGCACTGGGAATTTTATTTGGATCGGTCAGTCGGCCGTGCCTACCAGGTGAGTCCTTCGACCGAGTTCCTTTAAATGCAAATGGCATAGGTGCCTATTTTAAATACGATGGCCTGTTGGCTTAAATACATTCGATTCACCCAAAAATAATTCAACTACGGTTAAAACAGTCAAATTAGGCGAAAGTGATCCCATTTTGACCTACACATATTATAGGATTCAGTCGAGATAAAAACTGCAAAAATTCTGCTCGCGTAAGTCATTTTAACCATTTTTAGACCCTACCTTCGTTAAAAGTGATAGTTTTGCAGCAATCACCGAATTATGCTTCAGGTGGAAGTGGTTTCAGGTACAATTACCAAAGAAAAACCGCTTTTTTTGAACTAGTTTAAAGTTAGTTTAAAATATTGAAGTCTGCCTTTCACCAGAATGCCTATGAATGAAAGTATTAATTTTATCCAAACAAATTTGTATTTTTTATACAGAAAATGCGTCGAACAAACGATTGACAACGAAAAAGCATTAGCCCTATGCGACAACCTGCCACCTAAAGTGCAAAGTTTGCTTTTATACACCTACCTTTGTTACGTAGAAACAAAATAGTCATGTGGGTCCTTACCAATAGGTATCATTTAACGTGGACTCGAGTGCTGACTGGAAAACCACGACTGAATATTTGTAGTCAGTCTGGAGTCATGCTTCAGTGGATATTTTTCACCCAGTGCCAATTTGAGGTTTTTTAATCTGCATTCCATGGTCCTTAAATGGAGTACCACTGCATTAATACAATTTTTTCAAAGGTATTCGTTTGGGCAGGTGGGAGATTAGGTGAACACTTCCAGTAAAAATGTTTGTTACATCATCCTTGTATATCCTTGTATATGGTTTACCATCGAGACAGCTCGTGCCGTGTTTTGGTATGATGTCATTTACGATGGTTTTAAAAACAATCAAAAATAGTGTCATGAAAAGTGACCAACTAAAGTGGCAATTAAAATGCGGTATAATGTGAAAGCGAAACAAAACAACAGCCACATATTTGCTTACAGCAAGCAGTGTCTAAATGAAAGTCTCGTTGCTTAAGCGAGGCATAATTTTCTAGAGATCCAGAAAGTCATTTTAAGTATGTACTTTTCTTGATTTATTAGTGTTTTAAAATGATCATATTTTACAATCCGTGGCGCTGTGCAAGACATTCAGCATTTTAAATTCGACGTGATTCGGGAGTATGGACGCCGTTTCAAGCAGGAACAGAGTACATAGAAATTCGACCTGACACTTCAGTAAAATATTTTGCAAAGAACATTTTAAATCAATAAAAAAACCTGTGCAATTTTTTGACTAAAGTCCACTCTAGTATTTACCCTAAAAGCTTTATTAATAAATATTATTTCTAGTTAATGTGGTGCTTTAAGTAAATTAGCCAATAAAGTTGCGCGAGGCATCCACCAATAAAAGCTTGGCTTCTGATTTGAGGGGGCTAAATAAAGATATATTTAAGTCAGAGGGGTCCTTGAATTCTTACATTTTGCCAGAAGTTAGCCAAGTGGAATGAGGTTCGTGTATTAAAGTTTTTACTATTTTCATGCAAACAAGGTCTTTAAATAAAGCTGATTAACCCTTACACCTCAGATGGAGCAAAACGAAGAATGAATTTAGTTTCATTTTCTGGAAATGACTTTTGCAAAGCTAGCCTTGGTAACATCAAAATACATTGACTATACAACAAGGAAAAAATCGCGTTTTGTTGCAAGTCTGTGTAGCTCAGAAATAAATGTTGACAAGTCCAGTAGAAGGTGACTTTTTTCACATTGAAACCCGTTATCTAATGAAGTATTGGTAGATATTAATTAGCACTGTCATTTTCCAAGTTCACTCGACCACCATATCTGCACGTAGCCTCACGATCCTCTAGGCAATACGCGAGCTGAGAATAATCTTGGCGAACATAAGCGTACACACCCTCAGATGTTAGTAATTTACTTCCGATAGAGACACTAGTTCCAGCTAAGAAAATGTGAAATGTGTTTAACTGGGACGGACAATGACAGTGATTGGCCACACACAAGTATCTTCCGTTATTTTGAATGTTTCATACTCATCAATATGACTACTTTAAACCCTGGGTTTGAAGGATCCCAGACTCAATGTGCAGTGACTTACAAACTCTAAAACGGGCTTTTGTCTGTTGCCTCAAAGCATATTACTTCTCGAAAGTCTATTAATACGTGTTTTTAATTCATTGCCATTCTGTCCTGACAAAATTTATTTATTTTAGTCACCTTCAACTTCTCTCCTTCTATGTATTTGGAATTGTAATGGCTTTCGAAATGTGTAAGTACCACAATCTTAACCATCCAAGCTCACATATTTGTTTGTCGGTTGTGTTTGCAAAAGGATTTTAGGTGAAAATAATGTCACTGATGTCAAAACAATGGTTTCATCTAGACAAAAAGTTTTACTGCGATAGAACTGAGATGCGTAAGGCTGACTATTCTTATTCCTTGTCACCATTTTTCAATTGATTGCCACTTAAAGTCCTGGCTAGTAGCATTTATTGCGCAGACGTCTCATCTCTCAACAGATACTTAGTCGCCTGGTGTAAAGAAAGTCGAAAATTTGAATTTGAAAGGTATTCCCACCAAAGAGAACCACGCTCCGACTAAACAATTCTCGGCCATGTCTTTGGCAGTTCTTTCACGGTTAATCAAGTCGGATATTAAAGGCAATTTCGAAACAGACTATTTGATTTTTCCTGCGAAAATTCTCAACTCGTGGTCATCAAATGACCAGCTCCACTCATCTAAATTATGCTTACCATACTGGACCTTTTCAAACAGAAAGTAATAAGGCTACTTAACAAAAACGTGTAATTAAAAAGTGCCAAAATATTTTTAGGGTTCTCCGTGGCTTTCGACCAGATTAAAATAGTTGATTTCCGAGTAATTCCTCTGGCACGTGTGAAGCAATCACATTAGTTGATATTGTGAATACAATGTCATTTCCCGAAAAGCGGAAAGCACCCAGGTGCCCCAATTATTGGCAAAAGAAACAAGATCATACAAACCACATTATTTTGTGCCAACGTGAATTTCCTCGACCTAAAAGATAAATAAATGACAAAGGTTTGGGCTAATTAAAGGTAAATCTAAGTACATGTGGAGAACTTCTTTTTAATTGGAGTTTCTAAATTGAGTGTCAAAAGCGCACCTTACGCAATGTAATAACCGGATAAACACTAAGTAAAGAAACGCAGGTGGAGACAAGGTACGCTATTACCAGTTCGCATTAAAGTTCAACTGAAAATTTTTAAAAATTAAGTCCGTAAATTGGGATGAGGCCATGTTAATGAAGGCAATTGGGAGGGATAGACAAACCCACCCACGCCCATCCTCTGACGTGAGAGTACAAGTGGCTCGATGAATTAATGAATGAACTACGATTCCCACACAGAAACGCGTGATGGAATTGGAATGTGCCTCCACCTCGTGCTGTTCATCTTGTGCGATGAACGAGTGCAGCCACATTCGTCTTGGGTCTGCACAAAAATCACAAACCTAGCTTTAACTGACACCCCAGTGATTCCACCCACAGTAGGTCTCGCATCACGGACAACATGCCAAATTGTTGGCATCGTCTTCCAACTTTTGAGACGCCGTTTGTGAGTGTGGATGGACTGATGGGTGAATGCAGATTGCCAGTACCAGGCACCATGTCGATGGGACCATCAGGGAAACAGTTCGCAACACGGCGGATTGCCATGGTCACTGTCGCCTCGTCCACTACTTGCACATGCAAGACGCCACCGAAGCGGGTTGAGGTAGCCACGGGCGAGGCCAGGCATCTTGTCTCCCACCAAATCTGATCTACAGGTTAGGTAACTAGGCCCGGACAGACAGGAATAAACCTGTGGTTCCTCACCCCAACTGTCTCCGCATTCCTCCAATTTTCCGCATTCCTTTGCTTCACTAAAACCTCTGAACTGATGCATGGATGTTCACCGATAGTTACTAGTGTGACGAAATTCGACGATTGGCAAGTTGGGCGAATAGCCAATCTTGACTGCCAGAAAAAGCTATCAGTCATGCCAGTGAGATTCACGTTCCATCGTCGGACCGTTCACATTCGTTAGAAAATGAACAACCATCAAATCAACTCTGAATGTGGTATTCATCTCAACTTGACCCAGGTTTGCTTGCATTACTGCGAAAGTGAAAATGCCTGCATAAAATACTTTTGCCAGAGATAGCAAAGTGATTTTTGTGCCAAAAATGGAAGGACCATTGAATACCACGAATGAGTTTGATATTACTTATAGCAATTTTGTTGTCCACACGATCATTTGACACAATGTTTTATAAAATTCATCTGAAAAATATGAGAATGGATTCAATGATTGAAGAAATGTAGCTTGCTGTTTTCCCACACTGTCGACTGACGGCATAACAGTCACTCGTCGTTCCCTAATCAAAGTCTCCCTTCCTGCCGCAATCTTCAATCGAACAATTCCCCAGTCACGCGTCAACAAAGTTTTACATTTTCCGACATCTAAACTGGGGGGTGATGGATGTTATTGTGTCTTCATTGACAACAGCCGGCATCTCCTAGTGTGCATTGCAATACCTGCATCCGGCGGCCACGTTAGTGACGTGAGAGGGTGTGATCGCGTTCAGGTTGCGCTAAAGAGGTTCCACACTACATTCTCAGGGCTAGAAGGCTTTGATATTAACAGTAAGGGTAATCAAAATAGAAAAAAATGAATGCCAAGCAAGGTGCATCACTGACTCTAAAATCCCCCGCCTACACATTAGACACTTACTTCGTGAAACTAATCCATTTAAAACCGTTATCAAACCGATCTCGATGGAGGGAACAAAGTGCCGATGAATAGAGTCTTGCAGACTCTCCTCCACGACTACTCCACGCTATCAGACGGAAAGCTCAAAGGAAGTGGACTCAAGAAGGCAGCGACATTCGATAGCATAGGGCAGAACTAGCTCGGCAGACAACATGCTTCCAACCAGAAGCGCATAGTGAAGACTACAGGGATCATCCAGACTAGACAACGGAATGCCGCGAATTACCGAGAGTTTAATTGCTAGGTCACAGAACACACAATGCCCGTATATTGTGGTTGGAATAACCCTGTATAAGTGAATCGGGAAGCACTCCTAATCAAATATTACTGCAGCATTCGCTTCGTCAACGTCTTCTCACGGTGCCGACTACTAATGAGCACGAGTCC